AATCATTGACCTCCGGCCTAGGGTGTGCTGGTGCCGCGTACACTGGTGGACACCCTTGTGTGCGAACATGGTGTTCGTGATGGACAAACTGTGACTAGCACAGAAGTACAACAACTGAACACCGCTTGGGTTCAGATCAGTGGGAGCGTTCTTCCCAATCACCCCTCTCCAAGTGTCACTGGCATTTCCCACATGGGCGTTGAAGTCCCCCCGGGAAAATAATGGCCGCCTCTCTCCGTGAGAAACGCCAGAGAAATGAACTGTCCAACCCTTCTCAAGGAGTTGGGTTCCTAAGCCCAAGCTGTGTGGCCCGAGTCCCATCAGGGGTTAGGGCCTATTGCTTTCCCAACGAGTATGCCCAGGCATTACTCATTGTAACTGTCATAAGTCACAATGACCCGGTGCGGCCCAAGGGGGGCGCGAGCCCCGATATAGATAAATCTGTGCCGGATCAACAAACCAGCCTCGGCCGTTTTACCGATTTGGTTCAAATTCACTCCGCCTCATATCAACAAGTGTAGGACCCAAAGTTAGCCGCAGATTTTTATCAGCTAAACCAGAGGTGTCCAAACCTGCAGCTGTGGCTGCAGGTTTTCTATCAGACCCAGCTGAAGCAGAGCACACTCCTCTCATTTCCTCAAATTTTCAGGTTAAGACTGAACTCACTTGATGACAGGGTGGAGTCTTCTCTGCTCCTGCTGGGTCTGATAGAAGACCTGCAGCCACAGCAGCCCTTTCTGGACCGGTTTGGACACCTCTGAGTTAAACGGTGTGTGCGAGGCAGACTCACATATTTGGGTTATTTCTACAGAGACTCATGAAAGTTCATGTTATTCAATAGAGACACACAATCACGGATCATAGGCATTCAAAATACACAGTGTCGCTCCCATCAGGGCTGAATAATCGACTTCAGGAAGAAACCACTATCCCACATGCCGCTGAACATCCAGGGGGAGGACATTGAGCTGGTAGACAGCTTCGAGTACCTGGGTGTTCACATAGCAATAAACTGAACTGGTCCCATATCACCAGCGCCCTGTACAAGAAGGGCCAAAGTCACCTCCACCTTCTGAGGAGGCTGAGGTCCTTCGGAGTGAGCAGGCTTCTGCTCAGGACTGCACAGAGCGGAACAGGGCTAGACTGAATTAAAGCCGCAAACTGAGTGAAAAGGGCCCTTGCCGCACCGCGCAAAAGAGGTGGCGATAATGCGCCATTTACTTTGTTCTTGCAGCCATAAAACAATGATTGTAAAATTGTTATGAATATGATTAGTTTTTTTGTCTCAATAAGAACTTCATATTTGGCTCCCCATGTAAAACTTTGGCTCGCTCTGTAGGGGGCGCTAATTCTGAAATGTCATTTATATTGTGGTGGCCTAGGAGTATAACAACCTAGTCAAGTTTAGTGCAAATCAGACTTTGTATGTGCAAACATGATAATCTGTGAGTGTGTTCATATATATATATGGCCCGAATTGGCAAAACGGCCGAGGCTGGTTTGATGTTTGTGTGAAGTGTGCATTTCCCAATTTTGCCATTGACATAGAATAGCATTTGTCATCGCCACGGCAACAGGGTAAAAAATCTTGGGTCTCATTGATTTTTTTAATCAAGAGGCCAAATGTGAATAATGTGCTAAATGTCAATCATTTTGAAAAAACTGAATTGGATTATCCACATGTATAACTTTGATATAGTCTGTAGGGAGCGCTAATGAGCCAATTTCAATTATTTCACTTTCAAATGAGCCTGGAGTTGAACAATAGATTAAAATGTTGTGCCAATCGGACTTTGTTTGTGCAAACTGGAGCAAATTTGCTATTGTCAAAAATTGAAAAAAAAGTCACATTTTGCCGCTCAGCTGCTCAAACAATGTTTAACTGATCAAAAATTCTATGATCAACTATTGATGGTACATGTGTTTAGACGATGTGGAGCGATTTTGGGGCAAGTCGGTGTAACGGCTGAGGAGCAGTTGAAAATGAAATTTTTCATTTTCATCAATGGGTGGGGTGGCCAGAATAACTTTTTTTCATAATTTGAGTTGAGGAACATGTGCACCGATTTTCGTGGCTCTACGACAAACTTGACCTCGGACCTCCTTCCATAGGCTCATAGGGAGGGAAAAGAAAGAAATAATGGAGAAATAAAGTTATCAATCTACATTGTTAACACGCATTGTAAACAGGATTTAGTTGCTTGCTTATGTGACCTGGAATCCGCCATGATGGTTCCAAGATCTGAACTGCTGTATTTTTTTAAAATGTCTTTGTAAAGCCAGACGAGCTACAACAACTGACCAATTAGTAATTGGCTATTTGGTTGCTGGCCCTACTCTGCTTAGCTTCTGAGATGTGTTTTTATTAGAGCCTGGAATTAAGATGAAGAAATTACACACCAAAAACGCGTACAATTATTTTTACGCATTGTAGCCCGTTATTTTTTTTTTTTAACCACAGAACCTTTCTAATGGTAAAGCGTTTTGGCAGACCAGTACCGTTACACTGGAGGACCAACTAGCCAAAGCACAGTCAACATGTAGGAATAAGCGGACCGCATTGGTAAGCTCCGTGGAAGGGAAATGTTATAAAAACTAACAAAGGGTCAATGAGAGGATGGTTGTGTTTGGAAATCCGCACAGAAGACTAACCCCGTCCCAATTCTCACCCTTGCCCTTAAAAAGCACACTTGCCCTAAATTTTGCACGTGCCCGCATATGTACATGCATCTGTCTGTGTGTGTCTGCCTCTATGTGTGTACATGTGTGTCTGTGTGCGTCTGTCTGAGTGCGTGATGTGCAGCAGTTCTGTACCTAATTATAGGAAAACTTCATATGAAATAGAATTAAAAACTTCTCATTTTCATAAATACTGTGTTTCATAAAGTCATACGTGTGTCAGAGCTTATATGTCGTGAAATTAGACACTTTGAGAATGTGTGTGACGTGGAACATGTCTGCTGCGTAATTTGCATATTGTCGCCTAGATCCAGGGATCTCCCAATTCTTAGGGAGAATGTTGTGAGTGCACTCACCACTGGGAAGGCACTTTACTGGTGAGGGCACTCACCCTTAAGGGCAAGGGTGAGAATTGGGACGGGGCCTTAAAGATCTTATGCAAGGTTTGATTGATTTAGAAATACACTTTTAATACCTTTTTATTAGTGCTGTCCAACGATTAAAATATTTAATCGCGATTAATCGCATGAATTTCATAGTTAACTCGCGATTAATCGCAAATTAGTCACACATTTGCGTGCTGTGTGCAATTGCTTTTTTTATTGAAAACAATGTGTAGTGTTATATTACACACTAACATTTGATGCAAAATCATCAATAAATGGATGACAAAATAAATAATTGGTAACAAAAAGCCCCTTCAATGTGTGTGTGTGGGTGTGTGTGTGTATGTGTGGGTATAGACCATAGACTGTATAGAAACATCATGGTGTCATTATGATGATGATAAACAATCTGTAAATATTTTGTAAATTTGTTCATGTAAATACTCTATGCTGTTTCTCTGTTTACCTTCGGTATATCTATGACTGTATACTGTTTGCTTGTATTGCCTTTTTTATTAACCCCTCCCCCCATCTCCCACTTCATGTCCCTCCCCTCCTATGTGCCCTTCTGGGTTTCTTCTTTGGCCCCCTGTATCTCCAACTACATATTGTTTGTAATCTCTGTCTACAATGTATCTGAACTAGTCCTTTTCTTTGTTTCTATGTGTTTGTCTGCAATAAAAAGTAAAAAAAAAAAAAAAAAAAAAAAAAAATTTTTTTTTTTTTATCGCGCGATAAAAAAAATGACGGCGTTAATATTGATTTGCGTTAACGCGTTAATAACGCGCTATTTTGGACAGCCCTACTTTTTATATTAGAAGAGAACTCCTAAAGGTTTCAAAATCAATTTTTTTTTTTTTTTTGTCTGATCCTCCCAAATCGAAATAACCCCATAGCAACGCCCTTAGAGACGAAAAAAATGCACAGCCCTTGGTGACGTCAGAGCGGGTACGTTTCAACGCTGTAAGTTGTTTACAATTTTGTATTTTAAGATAACAAGGTGGTGTACAGCGAATATAATACTACTACTAGTATATACCTCCCCATTGGCGTAACGATAGTCCAGTGGTTGTGTCAAGGCACTGGCACCCCAGCAACTTGGGGTCAATTCTCACCTCAGTCACATTTTCACTTTCAGAACGGCATTATATGTGTAATGAGCAATTGACACCTGTAGAGTGCAGTATTGTGTCGGACATCAGTGGAGATGTATCTCCACTGACATCAGTGGAGAGTATCTGTGGTATAGATCCATGGCTTTCAATGTATGGGAGTTACCCGCTATGACATCACACACAGGTTAGAGGAATAGACAACTTAAATTAATTAAAAACACATTCTATTTATAAAATATAGGATTTTTTTTTGGTAGAATCTAATTCAGATCGATTGATTACCTGTCATGCAATTTTGATATCCATAATAAAAATAAAAAAAACCCTGCATAAGGTCTTTAAAGCAGATAACTGCTGTAAGCCTGGCTCACTGGATTGCACTTGACTGTAGGCCACTTTGAGTGGTAGAAGATAAGGGCCTGAAAAATGTATTATATTTCTAAATATGCTATTGTTACACTTGATGGACTTAGTTGAATGAAATAAATAAATATTTTGGTTCTTAAGCCTTATGTATTTAGTCATTATTCAATGGTACACTAAAAATCCATTTGGAACAAAAAATCTCACTGTTCTCAGGTCAAATATTTATATGCGATGAATTACAAAGCCTATGACTATTATTATTTGTCGCGTCCCTTCCCTAGTTTTCATACAAACTGAATAAAATGTCATGTAATTGAGTCCTCCACTACATGACTATACCCCCCAGTAGAGAGAAGAACAACCCCTATTTTTTAAACTACAGTCTTGTTCCATGTCCAGATCATTAGTTAAAACGTGTGGTATGTAGTGTGTTAATAGTAAAATTGCAGCTGACCACGTCCAGGGACGTCCTTTTGAGCGTCTTGAACTGTTTCCTCGGCTCCAGTTTGTAAATGTGTTTATCAGTGATGAGCAGTGCGCGGTCCGAGTTCTTGTTGAAGCGATTCACCTGCAAAACACACAACACTTCATTCACATGTGACAAATGCAAAGGTATTTCCTTTTATCCTGTGAGAAATTGTTGTTTAATTTGGTTTGACAATATTGGCTTCTGGATAGACGTGTTGCTAAGATGGTTGCAAAGTCCAAAGTTCTAGTCCTTGCCATTTCCTTGCCATTGCCCCGCGAATGACATCTGATTGATCAATCCTTATATGGCTCGTGTCTGGAGTTTCAAAATATAAACATATGGATCAGAGAGATCGCTAAACCACATAATTTTTTAATCCCATAATGGTGAGTGTAACACAAACGGTTACTGAGCTAAATGAGTTAAGTTAATTGAACTCTAAGAAATGAAACATAGGGGTTGTCAAATATAATTCATACTTTTCTTTTCAATGTAGTTACAATTGTTAATTTTGGGGTTGTAATTAATAACGTTTAATTGGAGTTAATTAAGTTCAAACATTGTTATTGCCATGTGATTGAACTATTTTGAATGTGTTGAACATAATTAAAGAAGCTATACCTGATTTTTTTTCTAAGTAGTTCATAAAAATGCTTTTTACTACATACAAGTTGTATCATAATACATAATTTTATTGAAAACTTGAGGGCATTGATTCCACTGTGTATGAAATTCAGGCAGTGAAAAGTGCTGAGTAGAGTCTTAGCAGGCCGTTTGTTCTCCTCCACTCACAGAACGAGCAGCGAACAGCCTGCGTCCTCTAGCCTCTACAGCGCTGCTTAACACCAGGGCTTCGACTTCAAAATTCAAATATAATAAATCTAAAATAAATAAATAAATAAATAAAAAAATTATATATATATATATATATATATATATATATATATATATATATATATGCTAAGCTAGCTAGCTGTTTACATGGTAACTTCCGGGTTTTTCGCGATCGCTTTTTGTCACTTTAAAACAGTATTTTTCTCATGAAAACGTTGACAGCAAATTCTGAAATCGTCCGTGCATGTATGTTAAGGATGTATATGTATACTGTATTGTCCGATTAACGTTTAACGGTGTTCATTGATTGATGGCTAGCTCCGCTAGCTTCTCTACACAGACAAGTGTGCAGAAAAACTGCACAATGTAGTGACAGGCGCTGATAGCTTGTTGTACTTGCGGAGTAATGGCAGTATTTCACACACCTGAATTACAAACAGGGGCTGTGAAAACAGCCTCATTATTGGTTTGAGAGTTCTGTTATCAAGAAAAAATTATCGGAAGAATTGCATTCAAGTCAATGGAGTGCTGCTGCTGGGAGGAGCTGTATAATAAATTATAATTAAATATTAGAATATATTCTAATGTTTAAATTAATACATTTGGACGCGAAACTAACAGTGTTGTGCCAGTTCACAACTTTTCTGAACTAGTTCAAGTTCAGTTCATACATGCTCAAAGTGAACAGTTCACGTTCAAATGTTCACATTTTTAATTCTGAACTAGTTCAAAGTTCAGTTCATTTTACTTTTTTCGTGAGATACTTAAATACATATGTTTTTCACACTACGAGCAGTGGCGTCTCTGGCATGAAAAGTTGAGTGGGGCACAGAGAGTGGGCACTTTACATCCACTAACAGCAAAACATGCACAATAAATCCAATTCAAGACCACAGTCTATTTTTATGCACAGCCCAGGGCTGGACTGGCCATCGGGCGTACCGGGCAATGCCCGATAGGGCCGATGCCCATATATGGGCCAGGATCTGTCGTGCCCCTCATTTCCAAAAAACATGTTTTGTGAAAAGTGTAAATCCGTTGAGAACTGTTTGAGGGGAGCGTCGCGTGTGCCGCGGGGCACCTGCCTGTATGTACTCGAACGGGATTCCACCCACCTCAGCGGCCGCAGTGTTCCCCTTAGCATCCATCGGCTGCGGGAATGCAGCGACACGCAGGACGCCGCTCACCGGGAACCGCTCGACAAACAAACACGGTGAGCGCGGTAGCCGCAACGTGACCATCAGGTACCCAATCCCCATAAAAACGTGCACGCGAGACCATGCGTGTCTTTGCGTAATTTGTGCACTCCAATAAATACAAACACCGCTGCAGAAAACAGTCCGCGTCTCCAAGTCTCCCTCTCCTCTAAATTAAAGCTGGGTACCTACATTTTCCATTGGCAATTAAAAGTTCATGTTTGAGCCCAAAAGTAAAATGTTTGTGAACAGATTAAACAGATTTAGAGCCAGCAAATGGCTGACAATATGCATTTCAGTCTTTTTTTACCAATTCTCATCCCTGTATTGTCTGTGTCACCTCCCTCACTCTGAGGCATGTTTATTACTCTGTTTAATGTAGACTATTGTACTTTATTTTATTTCTAGTTTCATTGTGGTTTCTGTAGGAGGAAAAACATTAACGTTTTTCAATGCTATAAAAACTTGTATAAGTAATATTCAATTTTAGCATTTCTGTCAACGTAGTGCGTCATATCCTGTGACGCGGCCCGTGCCAGGCGGCCGCTGCTGTAAACAAACATTATAGACTGTGTGTGCGCATGGATCCCAAAGATAAAGAGAGTCGATAAGACTGGACTAAGAATGAGAATGAACATTTGCTTTCAGTCTCTGAGGAAGGACTGCTTCATGTTTGTAATGAAAAGTTTTGTTGCAACAGGAGGAACAATGAAGCTTTAAACACCGTTCACTGAAAGATTCATTCATCATAAAGTCAGAGCACCTATTTTCAGACTTCAAAAACCTTCTCAAAGACGGTGAAAGAAAAGGCCATTAAGGACATTCAGCTCCAGCAAACTTCATCCTGTGATGTGATGGATATGAGCAGACAGTGATGCAGGTGAACTCGGAGCCAAAAAGCAGATTTATTTACTCTATTTGTACAATTGCATGAAGGTTAAAGTTAAAGCAGAGTTGTCACGTGGTGCGTCATTCTCTCAGGACACGCTGCAATGAAAATACACATTTGATAATCATGGATGGTTTCTATGTGTTTAGACTTTACTTTGTCATTTAGATATTAGGCTAACATAGCTAAGGTAGCTAAGGTAGCTAATGTAGCTAGCGTAGCTAAGGTAGCTAATGTAGCTAATACAGCTTCAGCCCCTGTTACCTTCATATAAGCCTTATACAACACTTTTTTTTTTTTTTTTGTCAAATATGGCTCCTTGAACCTTTTGAGTTGCCTGGGCCGCTAAGGAGGTGAAAAAATGCCTGGGCCGTTTGTTTTGTCCCAGTCCGAGCCTAACGTATATCCCCATGAATAAAACCTATGAATAGTTAAAAAAAAATCTGAAATATTCAACTCAATAGAATCATAATTCCTTTTTAATGCCATGTAAGTCAGGAACAGGAAGACTTCATAAATTTCTTTGGCTCAGTTCAGCAGTCAGAAAAGAGAGGTAAAGAGGAGAGAAGGCATAATAACAATCAGCAACATTTCTATGGAATGAAATTTAAAATAGAATTATGATTACAATTACTATATACACAATATACAAGTTCACATGGTGCACACAGTTTGTAGTAAACAGTGCAATAAGGTGCAGCAGTAAAGTGATGATGTGATGGCACTCATCAGTGTTCATTTTCTTGAATAGAAAGGATGCACACCGATCTTTCATCTGGGCAAACTTGTCAATAACCCGTCTGTCAAAGTCCTTTAAGCCACGAATGAATTCCTTTTCAATGGACAACATAGCCAGTGCATTCAATCTCTGCTGCCCCATGGTGTTTCTGGTAAATGTCTTTATCCTTTTTAGCGTTGAAAAGTTCCTCTCAGACTCTGCTGTGGTCATTGGTGTGGTGATAATAATTTGATCAGTGACACAGTTTCTGATCATGCATCCTGTAGGTTGTTGTCAAAGATCAGCTGCAGCAGTGACAGAGTGTTGCCAGCATGCAACTCTGAGTGACTGTACAGGGACTTCAGCTCAGTTTCCAGTTTGACTTTATTTCCAATTGGCCAGATTTTATTTGCTGCTTCAAACATAGCACATGGAAATGATTGTGCTGAAGTTAGTGAAAAGTGTGCAGTCGCACAAGCTGTGCAGCAAACAGGTGATCGCTGGAGCTAAACCTCTCCTCCACTTGAGCAACCACAGTGTCACACGCTTCCCTCATCACTGCTGCAGTGTTTGTTTTCCTCCGTTTCTTCGGCGCTGCCTCTCTCTCCTGAGCGATGTCATCCACATTGTCCCTCAGGCGACTCGCAGACCCTCATACCGGCTTGGTGTCTGCAGGTCTTCTTACGGCTTCTCCCTGCCAGCGGATCCAACCTCACAACCAGGTGGTGATCGTTGACAGCTCGCCCCTCTCTTCACCCGGCCAGGTAAGTGTCCGAGACACGCGGTCGAAAGGTCAGATGATACGACAACAAAGTCGTCATCAACCTTCGGCCCCCTAGGGTGTTCTGGTGCCACGTGCACTGGTGGACACCTTGTGCTTGAACATGGTCTTCGTGATGGACTAAACTGATGGTACAGAAGGCTCCAATAACTGATAGACCGCTCGAGGTTCAGATCAACGGGGACGTTCTTCCCCTTTCCCAAGTGTCACTGGCATTTCTCACTGGGCATTGGAGTCCCCCAGGAGAATAAACCGTCAGTACCCCTCCCAGAACTCCGAAGAGGCCGAGTACTCTGCACTGTTCGTTATGCCCTTAGGCCGTCACAATACCGTGGGAGACTGTTTGTCCCAGCACGATGGCGGAGGGACGCAACCCTCTCATTCACCAGGGAGAACTCCTACACGTTAGAGCTGAGAGGGGGGGCAATGGTATGGCCACCCAGCTCGCCGATTCTCCCGTGAGAAACACCAGGAAATCAAAAAGTGGAGAGTCAACCCCTCTAAGAAGTTTGGGTATTCCAGAGGCCAAGCTGTGTGTGGAGGTGAAGGCGACTCTCTAGTCGGTTTCTTTCAACCTCTTATCGAGGAGCTCGGGCCTCCTCCACAATAGGGATGTAAAAAACTATGGAAAGTTTCATTGGACGGACCACGAAGCCTCATTAACCGGTTGAAAACGGTTAA